TGCTTTTAGAATAACTGACCTTTTGTTTGAATCATGTGCTTTGATGTTATCATCACATCCTTATCTTCTTACAGAACCCAAAATGCGGTACACGAGGATGGTGCTACGAACCTTTACTCGTTCGACCAAACTGCGGATGGCATGCAGGTCCACTCCAATAAGATATTGCAGGTGAATCAGCACTAGTTCCGGATTTAGTTTAACAATAAAAACCCTTTTGTAGTACATCCGTAACTGAATCGTCCCAAATGTTCTACCATGTCTGTTCAGAAGCTCAGAGTGACTTCACTCTGAGTGAACATTTTACACTGTTTGGCGAAAGATTAATATTCAGATGACGGAAAATGTGCAATGTTGTAAATGTCGAAAAAGGTGGCAACTCGCTATTCTGGCAAACATCGGTTTCATGATCGTATTTGGAATTCGCTGCAACTTCGGCGCAGCTAAGAATCACATGTTCAAGAACTATACTGATCCGTGGGGACACCACCATGTAAGTCCCTTATCTCTGAAATCCTGAAGGTTTTATAGCACTGAGTAGATGTCTTTGTATTGGGAGCGCCTGCCTCACATAAATTTCTCCTTGTTAAGATACATGACTTCAATTGGACTCGCGCCGAACTGAGTGTTATGGAGAGTTCTTTCTTCTATGGTTATCTTGTCACGCAAATTCCGGCCGGATTTCTTGCTGCTAAATATCCGCCAAACAAGTGTGTTACTTCCGTAATTTTACCGTAGTTTACCCTGTAGCGCTGAGTCGCTCCAGGCTCTTTGGAATCGCCATTGGCACAGCCTCATTCCTCAACGCTTTTCTCCCATATGCTTTCAATACTAAGAGCGATACTTTGGTGGCCATCATTCAGATAGCGCAAGGGCTTGTGCAGGTTGGTTTGCCAACAGTCTTTACGGTTTTGATACCAGCGTCACTTCTAATCATCGTTGTGTTTTACTTAAGGAATATGTCTGTCTAACATGCACAAGTGGTTGTTTCGTACAGTTTTATAACTCCGAAAAGCATTTCAGTCTTGAAAATTCGTACATTAGAAATAGGTTTATGAAGGTACTAGTTTTGCGAAAGATATGAAGAGGTTCCAATATGCCAGCAAAGAAAGATTTGTGGATGATAAAGTAGACTCGAGCTATCCACACAAAAATATGCATCATTGTCCCTCTTCCTAATTTCAGGGAGTCGCATTCCCATCCATGCACGGTGTTTGGCGCTTCTGGGCCCCACCTTTAGAACGATCAAAGCTGGCCACAACTTCATTCACTGGCTCCTATGCAGGAGCAGTACTTGGCCTCCCTGTATCCGCTTGGCTTGTATCGTACATTAGCTGGAGCGCTCCTTTCTACCTCTATGGTGAGTTGCTCTGCTCGAATTTACGTACAAACATTCTTCTACTCCTGGTTCCTGTTTCAGGTATTTGTGGCTGTATATGGGCAGTGTTCTGGTTTTCTTTGACATTCGAGAAGCCCGCCTTCCATCCAACAATTTCACTTGAAGAGAAAAAGTATATAGAAGAAGCGATAGGGCATGTGTCGAACACACATCCTACTGTAGGTTTACAAATATCTCAAAATTGCAATTGCGAAACAAATGAGTAAACATTTAGTTTCACACAGTTCCGTGGAAGGCAATCCTCACGTCAAAGCCAGTGTGGGCAATCATCGTAGCGAACTTCGCCAGAAGCTGGACATTCTATCTACTTCTGCAAAATCAACTTACTTATATGAAGGAGAAGCTGGACATGAATATCAACGATGTGAGATAGCTTTTGAGAAAAGGCCCAACCTCTGAAAAACACAATTGCAGTCTGGGATGCTCGCAGCATTACCGCATGCCGTCATGGGTGTAGTCGTGTTATTAGGAGGACAATTAGCGGATTACTTGCGATCCCACAAAATCTTATCAACAACGGCTGTTAGGAAACTTTTTAACTGTGGAGGTAGGCGAGATTTGAACGTACATTCTTGAGGAGGTTTCGCAGGAAAGGAACGATGATTTACTGAAACCTTCCTAGAAAAAGACTATTCGCAAAATTCTTAAAAAATGTAATACACTCTTTTGCACTATGGATCCAACAGCTTTTCTGGAATTCTTGGAAAGGTGCTTAATATCGAAATAAGTTTTTTTGGGTTCTGCAAGAAAATTGTTCTTAAACCTAAGTTTTTATTAAGTTGGACTGGTTCCAGGTTGTTTTCGAGGACCAGAATTTCATTGTACTCCACTTGCAAAATTGCAAATGAGTTTTCATTTTTGATTTCTGTCTTCGTTCCCTAATTGGCAGCAACAACGTCGAACTTTTGCAATTTTGTTAACAAAATTTTAATCTCAATAAGCTAATGTGTCAAAAGTGTAGAAGGTAACGAAGAAAATTGTAACACATGAAATTAATCCTTGTGTTTTTATGCTAGCATCAAGTATTTAGCTCTGCCTCCTATATAAAAGTAGCGAACCGAGTTTAATGCTGGTTTGACGCCGTAGGATTGACTTATAACGTTCTTCGGCCGTAATATTTATTTCTGGAATGTTTCTTGACAGAAATGTTTTCTCGAGAACGGCTTTGAGCACTTAAAACGTAATAACATCGCAAACGGATGATGCTGTATAAAACTATGGCTATCGATCTCTGAAAATTGCATCAAACTCTCAAATTTGTTTTCATATGTGGTCAAATCGTTACAAGTGCAGCTCTTCTACACCAGTAGTAATTTGAAATGTGGATTAAAAATGTTTCACAAGGTAAATCCATCTAGAGCAATCAACACTCTATCAAAAGGGTGTTTTGACAATTTTCAGTCAGCACCAAATACCATGAATTTCTGAGACGTTTGAGTTTGATGCAATGACGCAAAAAATTTCGCATCCCCTACGAGTTTCACGCTATTACGAGTCGGCAGGATACTATGGAGCGGTAAAGATCGAAAACCATTCTTAGAAAAACTTTAATTCTGATATGTCTGAAGATTTGGAGCTTTGGGAAAGATTTCTTTTTTTGACATCTCTTATTTATAAACAATTTTCTTCCTGATATAAACCTCGTGTTTGAAGGGATGATAGGTGATTGGCGACAAGCCGTATGGTTGTGATGGAGGCAAAACATTTCGCTTTCAATCTTAAATCAACAGGAGCGGTAGTGCCAGGTAGGGCCTTGGTCCCCCTGAGTGTGTAGCGATGATGATATATGGGCATGAAGAGTATAGTTATTGATTATTTATTCACTCTAAAAACAGGGAAAGAAAGGGAAGGGAAGGAAGAAGAGCGGGCTGGAGCGACCACCCGGGCTCATGCCTTGGGAGCACGCACCCTTACCCTCTAATCGGCCGCACTCAGCCAACACCTGCCTGGTGGGCTGGATGATTCCCGAGAATAGTAAGTTAGCCGAAATGCGGATACTTGAATGAGAATTGACTGCGAATCTGCTCACTGTTATTGCCCACCTAACCCGCAGTAGAATGGAGGGAAGTCGTAAAATAGCTTTGAATGGAGACAGGTGAACTTGATGGAATTTCAATAATGGAGTGATTTATACAACAGCAAAACTATTTGAAAGCTTTCAAAAGAAGTTATGCCATTGAATTACCAGCAACCTCCTAGTCTTGTCGCACTAATCTGCTGATATCGTTGGCCATGAGGAGTCGAAGCAAGTTAATTGCAGCTTAGAGATGCGGCGAGATAGTGTGGTGGAAAAACATAGGTGTAGCAGTGCTCATTTCGTTCAAAAGTCCTATGGAGGACTCATTATTCGCGGTATTGTCAATAAAGTGGGAGCTGAGCTTTTGGAATAAGCGATCAGTAGGGCATCGGACACCATCGGTTCAAAGCCTAACGTATTTCAAGATGCAATTAGTCTGCGAATGGCTTCTTCGCCACTGCCTAGAAGGCTGACGCTTTACGAGACAAGCGATTGATCCGTGAAGAGACACCATCGCTGCTGTCGCTATCGGTTAATGGAAATCAAAATAATGCTTTCTCACAATAACTACGCAAGATCACAAATTTAGCTACTGTTGGAACTCTATCTACATGGCAACACTGGTAATCGAAATGCTGCGTAGTGCTTAATAAAATATCAAACGTCATCTTAAGCTTTGTTTGCCTCTAGTGCTATTTCAAAGGTTAGACTAATTGTAATAATTGTAATAGTCATTTAAGAGCAGTTGTATCTTGCGGGATTACCACAAAACATGCTTTCTCAGACAAGACAAAGCCTTGTGGCACTGATGCGGCATAAGGTGCACAAAGGTTGATCGTGGGTTCTATCCCACTAGGTTGCAATTTTGCGACGACATGCTATCTTCTCTATGAGCACTTCTCAGTTATCCTCATAGTTTGGTCGTACAAGGTGAAACTACTCGTTAACTGCGAGCAGATGACACTTGTTTCGGACAATATCACCGCCGCTCCACGTTTTTTTT